GGGGGGGGGGTTCTAGAAATCTAGATCTAGATCTAGATCTAGAATCTAGATCTAGATCTAGAAATGATTATCCGACACACAAGTCAAGTTTTTCAAAGTTTCCGAAAAGCACCTCTTGTCTTGGGGTGCTTTTTCGGTAGTTCCCACCCCCCTTATTTGAGCCTGACCTACAAAGGCTACATCACATCTAGATCTAGATCTAGATCTATACGTTTGATTCGCGGTGAGCTAAGATATCAAACCTAACAACTGCAAAACATTAAACTATGGTAAAATTCAGGGGGGCATGCCCCCCTGAAACCCCCCTACTCTTGTGGCCCAAACCCGTGAATAAAATTGCGGGGTGGGAACTACCGAAAAAGCGCCCCTCTTGGATTCCTAAATTAGTTAAGGCCATTTCCTACTATTTTTTCCTTTTTCACTACTGAACCCACTTTCAACTTACACTACAAACATCCAATTGTTGTTGACACCATTGAAGAAACAAACTACAAACAGTAAACACTATTTGAACACAAATCTGAAAGTAGAAAAATACTGCTTCCGGCGATAACAAGCCAATCATAGACTACTTACCTTTGACCCTCCTCGGCTCGTGCAGTCTGGATATTGGTTCGCTTTTTTAACATTTAAAAAAAAAATACGAATAACATTAATCACTTCCTGGATGATTGTTTTGTTGGTGGTTTACGGGGGGAGTAATTGTGGGGGGTTTTCTGTGTTTTTTTAACAAATGTTATAGACTTAAAAATCAGATTGTCTTTGAAAGCCATTCATTCATCATTCCACTTTAAAAGTGTCCTCAAAATTCGGTGGCGCCCTCTTCGCAAAAGCGCACCCTTTGCGAACAGTTACCCTCCTTGGGTTTTTAAAAATCAAAGAGAAACTAGCAAGTTTTTGGATAAATTTCGAAAGAACACTGTCTTAAAATGGTTATGCTGACAAAAAAACCTTTTCCGGAGGAAAGGGTGATTGTTTTCTTCGTTTAATTTGACGGGAGGACTTCCGTAACGAGCGACCACTATTAAATCTAAATTATACCAGAGAATTATACCTAATAGAGAGGTGACACTCGTGGTGGCGCTCCATAACAATTAAACAACAGTGCATTGTTTCGCGTATCGCCCGGCGCGGGGCGCGAAAACACTTACGCGCGGTGCTCGCTGCCACGGCGATGCTCAGGGATGCTGTCATGTCATGAGAAAATGAAGTGCCGTCAGTAGTTAGTTCACTAGGTTACTAGGCCTTTAACAAAGAAGGAAGCCTGTGAATTTTATCGCATATTTTAGGAAACTCCCCTGCCTCCCTCGGCCATAAACTGTAAGATTTTGGCTTAAGTTAACATACATTCTAATAAACAAGTAGACGCAGATACATTACTTCGTCTCTATAGATCTGAAAAAATAATATCACCGTAAAGGAATAATCGGTTTGATTTTCAGCAAATCTACTTGTTCTTCAATGACCCTTTGTCATCTCTCTCCCACTCTGTCTGTCTGTCTGTCTGTTTTTTTTCTCTCCCTTTCTCTTTTTAACTCTCCTTGTCTCTCTCCCCCCCCCTCTCTCCCTCCCTCAGTCTGTCTGTCTGTTGTCTATCTCTCTCCCACTCTCTTTCTTTCTTTCTTACTCTATCTCTTCTTCACCCCCTCTCGCTCTGTTTATCTGTGTGTCTGTCTGTCTGTCAGTTTTGTCTGTTTGTCTATCTCTCTTTCTCTCTCCCTGTCTCTTCTTCTCTCCCTTCGCTTGCTCTGTCTATTTGTCTGTCTGTCTGTCTGTCTGTCTCCCTCTCTCGCTCTGTCTGTCTGTGTGTCTGTCTCTGTCTCTTTCTTCCTCCTTCCCTCTCTCTCTCTCTCTCTCTCT